CTCAGAGGCTGTCACCTGGCCGCAGGCCACTCACCCCTTTGAGCATTTCCCGCCCAGCCCCTGGGGAGGCCCTCAGGGCTCAGCGCACCCACCTCTGTCCGGTTCCTGGGGGCTTCTCCCTGGGCTGGGGCCTGGATGTGCGGGACAGCCCCCTGCTCCTCGGGAGGTGGCAGCTGTGCGGGTGCAAAGGAGCCTCGCCCAGCCAGGCGGTGCAATGCCTGCGGGATGGAGGCCTCCTTGGGATCAGCCAGAGGGTCCCCACCTCAGCCCAGCTCATGAGTCCTCACGTTTGAAGACCTTGGGTGAGGTGCCAGTCCACGGTGCATGCTGGACCTGACCGGGTGACAGTGACTCAGAGAGTGGCCCAGACCCACTGCTAGCCAGGTCAGCCTGGCCCCAGGTCTCCACTCTTGGCACACACCTCTGGGCTGCTGCTGCTGCTTCTGCTCCTAGGTGTCTGGAGGAGCCGAGAGCCACCCAGGACAGCGGGGTACTGCCCTCTCCGTGCTGTGAGGGTCGGCCCCAGGCCGTGGGCTGCTGATGGCCGGTGGACATCAAGCTAGAATGGCTGAGGAGTCAGGCCCAAGCTTTGCAGGGTTCCCTGAACAAATGGCTTAAAAAAAATCCTAGTTTTATTAAGATAAAATTCACATCTCATTCAAGTCCTACTTGAAGTATGCAGTTCAGGGCAGTTCAGGCTAGTGGGTGCAGATGCTGCTCTGAGCCTACGAGTGAGGAGCAGAGGGAAAGGGCCGCTTTTCTTTCCTGATTGTGGCTAGAGGTGGGCTCTCCACGCCACGGGGACCTGCGGGCTGAGCCCTTGGCCACCTCTGCCTGCACCCAGCGGCCCACAGGCAGGAGACCCCGGTGAGGGATGCTCCTGTGGCCCAGCAGACTGACCTGGGCTGCAGAAGCCCCAGCAGAACACATAGCAGAAGATGCGCCACTGGGCAGGTGGCCCTGCGGGCTCACGTTTGCCACTGTCACTTTGCTGTATCTACACATGTGTTTTTTGCCAAAGCATTTTATGTGTTACAGCCATGATGCTCCACCCCGAATACCTCAGTTGCATCCTGGGAAGAGCCTTTCAAAACTCCCTATCATTTCATGGTGCCCTTTTTCACGTGTCCCCAGACGTCTTTATGTAGCTTGGGGCTGTGATGTCTGCTTAGTCTGTTTTGGCCAAGGAGAGCGCCGCTGGGTTTTTGCAGGTGGAGAACCCTCTTTTTTTCTTTCCTCCTTCCCTCCCCACAGTCGCTCTTTCTATGTATGTGGGTGGGTAACAGCTTTATTGAGATAAGCATTCACCCACTCAAGGCATACAGTTCCGTGGGTTTTAGTGTAGTCACAGAGTGTGTACCCATCACCACAATCATCCTGAGAAGGTTTCCATTACCTGGAAAGGAACACAGCCCCTCTTAGCCTGGGTGTGTGTCTGGCGTCTCTCAGTGAGCGAGCACCTCGTGGTCAGGGTCCGTGCACGCTGATGTGCACGTCCGAGCTTCACTTCGTTCCTTCCCACTGCTGAGTGACATTCCGTGTGCGATGGATCTCGTGTGTATCTGGTCATCCGTTGTGGCGCCTCAGCTGCAGCCATGGGGTCTGAGAATCGCAGGGCCCAGAACCCCAGCTGTAAAATCATGACATTTCGCCCACTGTGAACATTTGTGTACAAGCCTTTGCGTGGACACATGTTGCTGTTTCTCTAGGGTATAGTCCTAGGAGCAGAATTGCTGGATCATATGGTAACTCCGTGTTAACGTTTTGAGGACCCGCCAGACTGTTTTTCACGGCAGCTGCACCATTTCCATTCCAGCCAGCTGTGTGTCAGGGCTCGGGTTTCTCCACGTCCTCCCCAACCCTTGTCATTATCTGTCTTCGTTATGATGGCCATCCTGGTGGAGGTGAAGTGTGTACCGTGGCGGTTTCATTTGCATTTCCCTGATGGCTAATCACGTTGATCATCTTTTCATGTGCTTTTTGGCTATTTGTGTATTTTCTTTGGAAAAATGTTTATTCAAGTCCTTGGCCCACTTTTTAATTGGGCTCTTTGTCTTTCATTAGAGCCCCATCTTTTTGGCACAGCATTCTCTTGTCAAGAGCACATTGTTCCTTCTGGCCTGTTCTGTCAGTTTCCTCTTGGGGGCGCTCACTTTGTGTTCTGCCCCTGCAGTATTTCCAGTAAAGTGGAAGGTTGGTTCAGGGCTGGCGTTCAGTCAGATTCCTTTTTTATTTCTTAAGTATGTACACGTCTGATTTTTATTTGCCCTCCTTGCAAAAACATGTCACGGGTATGGAGTGTTGGGATTTCAAACCATCTTAATTTTCTTCTTCATATTTACCTATTAAAAGCCTTCATTCCAAAGCGGCACAAATAAGACAGAAACAGAAATCCCACGCAGGCCCGCTGAGCTGAACCTGGGTGATGGGCGGCTGAGTCACGTCTTTCCTGCCAGGATGCATATGCAGAAAGCTCACCTGCTGGCTCTTCATCTGCTCTCTCCTCCTTCCGGATGAAGGCTCATCTCAATATTGTGTTGTGTAGGGGGTTCAGGGGCACGGCCTTGGGGCTGCCCCGGCTCTCCCAGGGACAGGCTGGTCCTCGGGGGCTGATGGGGGCTGGGTGGGGTGGGGGTGGATGGGCGGGAGGCATCCTCCATGCGAGGTGGCACGTTCGTCTTGGCCCACCCCAAGGAGCTGCGACCACACGTGAGCCAGCCTGGGTGGAGCAGCACGAGGAGCAGTGGGGGACCCAGGCACGTGACCCCGCTCAAGGGGCCCTGTGAGCTCCTCAGTGAGCCGCGAAAGCGGGTCTACGGTGGGGAGCGGACGGGCCATGTCCGATGCGTGCAGCAGGGTGAGGACCTATTAGTGGTAAGCTGTCCACTGCCACCCAACTTGGACGCTGGCCACAGCCGGCTGAGGATGTGACCTCTGTACTTTTGCTGGCCACTGAGGGCATGGGACCGAGTGATGAATTTGATCACCCATGCAGTGAGGACACCCTCAGGAGCCAGGGCTTTTACCAGTGGGTGTGGAAAACCCTGGGGGTGGTGAGGCAGATGGCAGGACTTGGGGGGCTCTGCTGATGAAGCAGAGGAAGGCTGCAAGCAGTGGCTGCAGCTTGTTCTTGTCCCGTTCATGCTGGTGACTTGTGTCTCTGCTGAGGTCCCTGCCCAGGGAGGCCTCCCTGCCACCTGCCCTTCCATGGCTCTGTCCACAGCCGACAGCCCAGCTCAGGTCCACACTACTGTTTGTAAGGTGATTGGTGTCAGGGTCTGCCCCCCGGCCATGAGCACCCCAGGACAAACACACAGTGGTCTGCTGCCCGGCTGGGAGGCCCGAAGGGAGCCTGTGTGGCCCCATCTGGGCTGGAGGGGAGAGGGCGGACGGGGATTCGGGTACTGGTCCTGGGCACAGGCGAGGGGGCCGGCTGGATGGCACACCAGTGAGTGCCGAGAGCTGGGCAGGGCTCCAGTGGGCAGCCTCCTGGGTGGCAGGCTGGCTGTGGCCAGGGCCCTCTGGTGTCTGCACCTCCAGAGGGGAGCCTGTGACGGCCCTTTATAAACCTGTCTTCACAGTGGTTCCGTGACCCTACCCAGAGCTGTTGTCACTGTCACAGCACTCGCAGCCCACCGTGCACAGCTTTGTGGCTGCCTGTCCAGGAGAGGCCTCGAGACTCACTGTGCACATGGTTGGGGGGCCAGGGTGGGGTCCCAGCCCATCAGGACCCTCGGGGGCCTTCCCTGGCAGTCTTGCCATCAGAGCAGAGTCTTAGCCTCCAACCCCCTGGCCGCATCCCTCTGTTCCCCAGGCAGAGATGAGGTGTCCAGGGCCAGACCTTGACAGGGTGCCGAGAACTGCCCGCCTTGGCTGTGACTCCTGGGCTCGTGCTGCCCTCTAGTGCCTGCGTGGGGTAGCGCCTGTGAGAAGCCCGGCCACATCCTGATGTCAGGGAAGCCGCTCCAGGACGGGTGGCTTCTTGCCTTTCCTTTCTCAGCCCGACTCACCGTGGCGGCGGAGCTGGGCTTGGCTGACTGTCCTCCAAATCCTTGGGTCTGTGTGCCCTTGGGTTCTGACCTTCTCCAAACCCTACATCCCCCTTGCCATCTCAAGTTTGCAGAATTTAATCTGCCATCCAGGCCCTTCCCCGGAGTCTGTCATGGAGTCCTTTCCTGCACGCGGTGGGCCTCCAGCTGCCCCACTGGGTCCCTGTAACTTCCGGGACAGGAGGGGCCATTGCAGCCTGGGCTTCCTCACTGAGGGGACCCCGACCCCAGACACCTGCAAGGAGTAATCGTGGGGCCAGCGGACTTGGCCACGCCCCCCTGTTCTATGTGAGAACCATCAAGGCTTCACGTCATAACCAGGGGCCACGTGGAGCTTGTCTGATCTCAGCACACGAGCTGTTCTGGCCAGGCCTTTGACTCTCCTGGTTCCCAATTCCTATCTTGGGCTGCCTGTGCGTCATTTGCACCTGGGTTCTGCTGACAGGAGCCAGGCTGGTACTGGAGTGCCCCACGCACTGCCCACAGTGGGTGCTGCCCAGAGTAGGGGTGCCCCTGCTCATGAGTTTGCACCATGAAGGACACCCCACCCACACTCACCTCCGGAAGCCGGCCATCTGCTGCCGTCCTGGCGGGCATGCAGCTCCGAGGTAGAGGCATTGGTTTGAAGCCGATGCCAGCAAACCTAGCTGGGTCCCTGATAAGAAAAGCCTTTATTTCAAAGCGCCCCTGGTTTAAAATTAGTGCTCTGGCTTCCGGTATCGCATTGGCTTTTAGAACTAGGACGCCTCTGTTTTTAATTAGCTGATGTCATTTTGGTCTTTTGCGCCAGCGCAGGGTGGGAAGTTGCCTCCAGTGTCCTCTGGCCCCGCTTAGCTGCAGCCCACTGCCTTGTCTCCCAGAGGCCGCGGTGTTTTAGCGGCCTCCGAAAGGAGGAGACCCCCTGAATGGTAGTGGTGCTGATACGCTCACGCTCTCTTGTCTCCCTCGCAGGTGCGGTGGCCCCTCAGCTGCAGCCATGGGGTCCGAGGATCACGGGGCCCAGAACCCCAGTTGTAAAATCATGACGTTTCGCCCAACCATGGAAGAATTTAAGGACTTCAACAAATATGTGGCCTACATCGAATCCCAGGGAGCCCACCGGGCAGGCCTGGCCAAGGTGGGTGATGCCCTGTCCCAGTGCAGGTTTTCACCAGCCTCCGCCTGTGCATGTCCTGGATCACCAGGTCCTGGTGTGGCCATGTCCGAGGGCAGCACGTACCTGTCAATCTGCTGTGGAGCCACAAACGTTATGGAGTCCTTCCCTTATGCCAGGCACTGTTCTAGGCACTGAATTCAGAAGTGACTCCCCCCTGAAGTATGGCAAGGACAGGGGCCAGCCCAGGGGGCAGTGGGTACCCAGGGCATTGTGGCAGGGGCTGTGAGCCGGGGCAGGTTCCCAGGGAGTTGATGTCAGGAAGGCCTTCGTTTTTGTCTGTTTCTATTTAAACAATTATTGTTTTTTGAGACAGCAAATTAGTTGTGGGCAAATTCAAACAGCGACAGGGTGTAGGGTGTAGGAGAGTCGCTGCCGCTCCTGCCCCAGCCCCATCTCCCAGCCCCGCTGCCGCACCGTCACCAGTTCCCTGTTTCTCCGTGAGTGTATCACGTGTGTGTGTACGTGTGTGCGATTACAGACAGGAAGACAAGCAGGCCCGGCGTGGCTTCTGAGTATGATGGCTGTGTTTCCTCACGCTCCCATGACCCTGTGTGTTTGGCATTATAGTCCTATCATCGGGAAGATTCGCAGCCTGTTTGTTTTGGGTTCTTGTTTTTGTTTCCTGTACGACTATCACTGTTTCCAAGATGCCTGGTTCTCTGTTCTATGAACCAAGAGGTCGGTGAGCCTCTGCTGCACACTGCCAGGTAGTATGTGCAGTTTTGTGCCTGGGCACTGTGGCCCCTTCTCGCTGCTGTGTGGACAGCCCGCAAACCAGCGGGCGTGGCTGGGCGCCAAGGAAGCCGTTTAAGGATGCTGGAGTGTGTGCCTCTAGGATTTTCACTTGTCCTGAAATCTTCCCCTTCTGTTATTGTTCCTTAGCTATTTAAAAATGAAAGAAAAAAAAATAACATTAGTGGTTCACAGGCTGGATTAAAGTAGGCGCTGGGCTGCCTGCGGCTCGCCGCCCCCTCACCAAGGTCGGCCCCTCTCCCAGCTTCTTTCCTGCCTTCACCCTCCTCCTAGGAACCCTGGGGAATGTGCTGGCCGGGGTTCTCCCCTCCTCCCCTCAGGAGTTCTTCACGCAGCACTGAGGGGGGCTCTGCCCGGCAGAAGGATCTCCCTGTCAGGAACCTCCCGCTGCCCAGGGGCCAGGGCAGCGTCCCCCTTTCCTCAGCCTCAGTGCTCACTGCCGGTCTGGCACCTCAGGAGGGGCCCTGGGCCGTGGGCTGTTGTGGGGAGTCTAGTCCTGGTGTGGGGGGCCCTTTCTTTCCCTCGGAATTCACTCGCCTTGTCTCCTGTCCCTGGCCTCGGTCTGCCTTGCCCTGGACGCACAGGCCCGCTGGGCAGCGTGTCTCAGGTCAGTTTCTGGGGCAGCGCTAGGGCGCCTTGGGCCCCACCCAGCACCTCTCCCGCGCCTCCCCTCAGCGCTCCTGTCTCATCACCTTGTCTCCGGCTCCACTTCAGCCGGCCTCCCCGGCCCTGTGTTCCAGCATTTTCTGTGTGTGGCTGCTGTGACCCTCCCTGTCTCTACCTGTGCCCGCCAGTTGCCTTTCGTCCCTTCATGCCCCTGCTTGCCTTGAGCCTGGACGTCTCTGCTGTAAGCCCTCCACTGCAGTGGAGCCACTTCCCCTGGTTTGGTTGGACCCACGGGAACCCGTCGGACTGGGCATCCTGTGGGATGTTCTCAGGGTGTGGGTCCCTCTGCCTTTGGTTTTGTGGCTCTTTCCCACTCCTCTGAGCTGGGACTGCTTTCTCCCTGACAGCTGCCTGTGGAAGTGGGGGCAGTGTGGGGGGTCCGGCGTTCTGTGCAGTGGAGGGGCGGGCAGCAGCACCCCACTGCGGTACCAAAAGGTCCTGGCGACATAATCAGGCCGACACATGTGCACACACATCCCTTCCCCTTCTCCCAGGGACATGTGCCGAGCCTTAGTCCCTTGGCAGCCTGCTTGCCACTCTGTGGGGACTGGTGCGTCCAGGGGAGCATGCACTGTGGCCCCGGGCACCCCTGCTTCTCTCAAAGCTCTCAGGCCCGCCAGCCCCTCTGGAGAAGGGATGTACTGTCCTGCTGGCTTGAGTGAGCTCTGGAGGTGCAGTGCCTTCATCCTGGTCTCACTGGCTTTGGCTGCCCTTTTCTGTGTGTGTGTGTGTGTGGGTGGGTGTGTGTATGTGGGGGGGGGTGTGGTGTTGGGGCTTCTTGTTTCCTCAAAGCTGTATTTGGTCCCCACCCCTCACCCCACCACAGCTCTGTGGGGCCTGGGGAGCTGGGTCAGGTAAGCGTTCAGCAGACACAGCTAGAGTCAGGCTGCAAAGCTAGACAGGGCTCTGGGGTCCTCGGGGTGCCCTGTCCTGCTGCTTAGCAGCTGTGCTTAAGGCCGACCCTGGAGGCAGGAGATAGCTATGGAGGGGCATGGCTCCGGGTGGTGGGGGATGGGGCGGTGCGGGGCCCGAGCGAGGGGTCAGGGTGCTTCGGTGTCCTCTTCAGTGCTCAGGTGCGTCCCTGGGGACCGGTCCCAGCAGGCAAGTGGTTCCCTGGCTCCTCTCAGCCACCAGCCCTGCCACCTGCAGAATGGCTTTGGGACCCAGTGACCTCAGGGGGCAGAGGCTGGCCCTTGCTTCCTCCCCTCCCGAGGTGCCCTCATCTTCTGTCCCAGCTGCCCAGACACTCCCAGGTTTGCTGTGCAGCTTGCACCTGGGCCCCCCACCTGGGGCCACCACGATCCCTGGGGTGTGTGGCCTCGTCCCTCCTGGCCTTGGCCGAGGCCTGCCCAGAGCTCCGAGGAAGGGTGCCTCCAGGCCCGCAGGCACCGGGGGGCCATCAGGGTGCTCAGGATCTTTGAGGTGGCGGCCTTCAGGTGACCTTCCCAGAGAGCCTCCTTTCAGATCCTGACCTCCCAGAGGTCGGAGCATCCAGTTGCTTCACACTGCCTCTACCCTGACGGGTTTTCCCGAGGCTTCAGCTCAGAAGCTGGAAGTGGGCCTGGTTCACGTGGCCTTTCAGAACCTGCTGGTGTGTGTCCGGAAAAATGCAGATCACATGACTGCAGGCAGCCGTCACGCGTGTGTCCGAAGCGCCCTCTGAAGTTCCTAAGGCTCCCCCGTGATTGGGAGGGCCGGGCCGGGAGCAGAGGGCCTGCGGACCTGGCGGGGAGAGCAGGGATCCGGCCGTCCCTTCACGCCCTTGTCCGCAGACCCCTTCCTTTGCAGGATGTGCTCATTCCGGGAGGCGCAGGCCCTGTTTTCTGTGTTTTGTGTCTCCAGCCTTGGTGTTTTAGTTGATCACCAGACCCTTCAGATTCTTAATGGAAATCAGAAGCTGTCAACCAGCAGGCTGACCTCAGCACCCTGTTGTCACACAGCCTTGTCCCAGACACGGGCACCCCAGGAGCTGCTGTGTCATGGCCATACTTGACACAGAAGGGAGAGGACATGCACCAGAAAGAGCCTTGACTGACAGTCATGTCCTGTAGGGGTGGCGCCTCCCCATTAACTTAGAGGAGGGCTCCCAGCCTCAGTGCTGCCGACGTTGGGGCAGGTTGTTCTCTGGGAGGCCCTGCTGGGTACTGTGGGGGGCTGCGTAGCACCCCTGGACCCCACCCACTCAGTGTGGGTGACAACCAGACACTCCCAGTGTCCCCTGGAGGACAGGATCACCCTGGGTGGGTGAGACCCGCCTTCCTCTTATTGCCATGTTGTCATTTGTTTGTGTTTGGGCTGTAGTGGGTCTGCGCCAGGGCTGCACCTTCCTGCTGCTAACAGGCACCCAGAGAGTAAGTGTTTTCCTGGCAAAGCAAAATGTTTTCTTGCACACATGTGTGCAGGGGAGTCTGTGAGCACAATAAATGTGTTTCGCTTCAGGGAGCCCTGACACCAGGCCCTTCCCGGGCCCGCAGTGTGCCTTCCTGGAGAGGGGCAGGGCGGGCGTGAGAGCCTCAGCCCACAGAGGGTCAGGCCGGGGTGGCCGCCTGCTGGCCCGGCTGCAGTGACAGGGCATGCCTTCGCTCAGAGGTTGCCTCAGGGCTGTCCCCTCACCTGCTGCCTGTCCCACTACCCCCTCATCTCTGACGGTGTGTGTCATCTGCCCGCTCCCTCATGGGCCTGTTTCCCAATGTCTCAGCACCTTGAACTGGTTGCCTCCTTGTATGTGTCAGTGAGACGGGCCCTGGGGACGAGGTGGGCTGTGTCACTTCCTGGTCTCACTGGGGGGACCTGAGCCGGGCATGCAGTGCTGTCTCCCACCCACCGGCCCCTAGGCCCACCCCCTCCCTGCTCTCACTTTGTGATCAAGCCCAAGTGCATGGGGGGCCCCTGGGGCTTTCCAGGCTGGGCCGGCTGCACAGAACCCAGTGGGCAACATCGGGTGGGCAGGCTCTGCCCTAGCGGGGGTGCTGGCGTCCACCTGGACCTGGATTCCCTGGATGTTGGATAAAGCGCCCCAAGGAGAGGCGCTGGTCTCCCCGGGCCGCCAATGTCCATTGCCACGTGCCATCTGGAGGTGCCCCTGACTGCCCCTGTGTCTTTCAGATCATCCCCCCAAAGGAGTGGAAGCCACGGCAGACGTACGATGACATCGATGACGTGGTCATCCCGGCCCCCATCCAGCAGGTGGTGACGGGCCAGTCGGGCCTCTTCACGCAGTACAACATCCAGAAGAAGGCCATGACCGTCGGAGAGTACCGCCGCCTGGCCAACAGCGAGAAGTATGCGGCCGGGCCCAGGGCGGGGGCACAGAGCACGGCTGTGCTCAGAGTCCGCCAGTTCTTACAGGGCAACGACTGTACCTTCTCACCACCCAGGGCCTCGCTGCCCTCATCGCTGACCGCTGGGGGCTGTCCCTGCAGGGCTCCCCGATCTCCTGGCTCACTGAAAGCTGGGGTGTTTCTGGCCGTCTGTGCTCCCAGCCTGCGCGTCCTGTGAGGGAGGGCATTGTCTGCCTCTGGGTCCTGGCCCCATGACAGCACCTGGCCTGCCGAGTGTTCTTAGTCAGCCCAGGCCCAGGCCAGTCAGCTGGCGCGAGGTGGCGAGGCCACCGTGCTGGGCACTTCCCTCGCGTGGCAGTAATCAGACCACATCCGCGTCCTCCTGGCTGTGCCCCAGGGCCGGACAGCAGGTGCTCTGAGCAGAGCCCCGCTGCAGCGTACCCAGCATGCACCGGCCCTGCACCCACGGTCCATTGCTGGCATGTGTGCCCACAGGTACTGCACCCCCCGCCACCAGGACTTTGATGACCTGGAGCGCAAGTACTGGAAGAACCTCACCTTTGTGTCCCCCATCTACGGGGCTGACATCAGTGGCTCCTTGTACGACGACGTAAGTAGTAGGCTGGAGGTCCTGGTGAAAACGGGGTGGGGCTGCCTGTAAATGGCGGAGGGAAGGGGTGCAGAATGGATTTCACCATTTAAGCTAAAGTGCTGCAGAAAGCTTACGGGCTTTCCATCTGGGCCCTGCCTACAACCATGTGCCTGCTCAGGTGACTAGAGAAAGAATCCAGGGCTTTTCTGACTTGCAGAGTCTTTTCTACAAATGGGAGAGCCCCCCACCCTGATCCTGCACCCTACGCTCAGCTGCCAACCTTGGCAGCCCCATCTCAACACTGTCCCCCTAAAAAAGTGGCCCTGAGAGCCTCATTCCTCCTCCCAGGGGCCTTCAGGCCCTGGTTATTCTGGTACTTTTCTCCCCAAGTTCCTGTCGTGCCCCCTTCCTGGAAACCTGGAAGCCCCAAGGCTTAGCTGACCAGGCTGCCACTGGTTCACCCAGATCTGGTCCCCTTGCTGGGCTGGGTGGGCCCTGGGGACACTGGGGCGATGGAGGGGCCTCTGCTCCTTGGTGTTTGGGCCTGTAGGCCAGACACTGGGCAGGACTTGATGCTGAGGCCCCAGAGCAGTGCTGGAATTAAGCAGAGGGAGGGCTGAAGGGGGCCCATCATTTTTAGGGCGCAGTCCATTAACATTTATGGAACCTCCGATAACCTGGGGAAGGACCGATGAGGATTGATTTCAGATTTATGAAGCCCGACTCTCTTGGTGGTGTGCATGGGCCAGCCTAGGCTGAAATGCTCCGGCATGGAGATGGGCCATGCTGTGTCCATCTGTGCATCTGTCGGTGGACACCTGGGTTGTTGCCACTTCTTGGCTGCTGGGACATCCACACACAAGCCTTCACGTGGCCATGCACTTCACTTTTCTGGGGTGCATACCCACGAGGCTGCCAGCTCATGTGGACGCTCCACCTGTTGGTTTGAGAGCGGCTGCCCCATCGACCGTCACCTCAGCAGCAAGTGCTCGGGGCTCCGATTTCTCCCATCCTCGCCAACTCTTGTTACTATCTGCCTTTTGATCCTAGCTGTCCAGTGGATGTGAAATGTGTCTCAGTGGGGGTCTGACTTGCATTTTCCTGATGGTCAGTGACAGTGAGCACCTTTCAGTATGCTTATTGACCGTTTGTCTCTTCTTTCCGGAGGAACATCTGTTCAGATGCTTTGCTGGTTTTTGAGTTGGGTTATGTTTCTTTTTATTATTGAGTTATTAGAGGTCTTCATATAGATATAAGTCCATTACCTAATAAGTGATTTGCCAAAGGATTTACATATGTTTCCTCCCATTCTGTGGGTTGTCTTTTTCTCTTGATGTTCTTTGCAGCATGGAAGATTTTAATTTGATAAAGTCCCCAGTTTATCTTTTTATTTTCTTTTACTGCTTTTGTGCTGTGTTCTGGGCTCCTGCCAGGGTCCACCTCGCAAAGACCAACTGCTGATCCTGCCACGTCACAGCCTGAAGCGTGGACAGGCGTGGGTGGCACAGGGGATCTGGGACGTGAGAATGCTGATCACTCGGTGTCTCAACAGGCCTGGAGGGTTCTCCAGGGACTGGAAGTTGATTAGCAAGGATTTTATGAGCTCTTATGACAAGAGGGGGTGTGTTACTAGGGCCAGATAAGTCTGGTGGGTGGTGATTCTGGCCTTCGCCTGGTCCCCAAGTCGTCTCCTCTGGCGGAAGATGCTGGAAGGGCTGTCTGGCACCAGTGCTGGGCTAGCTCCGCTCTGGGATTTTTTTCCTCCTTCCGTGTCATTGACTTTGAGGCACGTTAATTATTCACGACCAAACCACAGCCTTTGCAGCTCTGCCTTTACCGCCTGAGGTTAATGCACAGCTCAGCATGGGGTGAGTTGGCATCTACAGGGTGGGGGCAGCATGTGGTGAGTGTCATGTGTCTAGATGGATCTGGGCAGATGTGGGGCTGACGGGGTCCCATTGTGGCCCGGGGCTTGGCGAGAACATCGCTCAGCCTTCCTCTCCTGCCAGTGTCTGGGGGTGGCCAGGCCTGGTGCCCTGAGGGGCCAGCCAGCTGACCATGTGCTTGCCGCCCCTACAGGACGTGGCCCAGTGGAACATTGGGAACCTGCGGACCATCCTGGACATGGTGGAGCGTGAGTGTGGCACCATCATCGAGGGCGTCAACACGCCCTACCTGTACTTTGGCATGTGGAAGACCACCTTCGCCTGGCACACGGAGGACATGGACCTGTACAGTATCAACTACCTGCACTTTGGGGAGCCCAAGTCATGGTGAGGGTCGGACCATGGGGACGGGCAGACAGGGGGGCCGTTTGTGTGGCTCCTCGGGGGAGTGGCTGGGCCTGTGGCCAGGACTGTCAGGCGGCGGGGGGAACGTCGGCAGCTTCAGTTTGCCCGCCCAGCCCGGCTGGCTTCAGGGGCAACCTCGGTTGGTGATGAGAGGATGCACGCTCCCCAGAAACTAGCTTGCCAGTCCCTGGAGCTTGTGGCTTGCACCCAGAGTGCCTCACACTGAGCAGTGGCTGGCAGCAGGCCTCCTGCTGCGCCTCCCGGTCTGCATCAGGCAGAGGCTCTTGTGCTGGGTCTCCCCCCAGGGCTATGGGCCTCCCCCTCTGCCCACTGCTTGGCCTCCAGGCTGAAGGTGGGGGCAACAGGCCCCTACTCCCTGACTGTCCACGTGTGGGGCTGAGTTAGGCGTGCCAGCCCCCGGAGGCCACTCTGGACGATGGGCCTGTGTCCTAGAGTCTCGGAGCGGAGCGCCCCTTCACGCCCAGCCTCTGCTGCCAGGACAGCTCGGGGCGCCTTCCTCTGGGCTGCCGTGCTCACTGGTGTTCCCAGCAGGGACTTTGTGAGCAGGGAGGGCTTTGCGTCTCTCTGCCTCTCCCCTGCTGCTTGGAAGCTTCTGTTAGCTAGTCCTTGTGGCTCGGAGGGAGGCGGAGGGGAGGCCGGAGCCCTGGGAGCCGACTGGGGCTTGGGGGCTCAGCCGAGTGTGTGCTGCTTGGCGTGTTGTGAGCGGTGGGGGTGCAGCACAGCTGGGGACCCAGGCCTGCCCTGGCCAAGGCACCCCTTGCCTTGGTGTCCCGGCTGGGAGCTGACCCCCGAACTCTCATCTCCTTTAAGTCCCTGGGATGTCCTGAGCCCTTTGCCAAGGGTCGCAGGAGCAGGTGCTCTGAGAGGAAGGCCCAGAAATGGGAGGGCCTCAGGTGGGCAGCCAGGCCTCCTGTCCTGCCGTCAGCGGTCACCACCCGCTCCTCACCTATGATGGGGACAGAACGGGGCGTCTGCTCTGGTAGCCGGCTCCTGCTCAGACAGGTGGGGGGCACTGGGGACAAACGTGGTGGGGGTTTCAGGTGAGTTTTCCTTGGCTGCTGTAACCAATGGCAACAAAAACTGAGCTGCTTAAAACAACACTTAATTATTTTCTGACACTTGTGGGGTCTGGTGCTTGACCCGGTCTTGCAGGGCTACGTCCGGGTGCAGCAGGGCTGGCTCTTCGGGGGCTCGGGGAGAGCTGTGTGCGCCTCTTCCAGCTTCTAGGGGCGCCTCCTGTCTGCCCAGCCAGCAGGGCCATGCCTTCTCTTTCTCAGACCCTGACCTCCTGCCTCCACTTACAGGGACCCCTGTGAGGACCCTGCCCATTCAGGAAATCCAGGATCGCCCTCATCTTGGGGCCTTAGTCCCATCTGCAAAGTCTCTTTTGCCAGGAGAGGTGACATACTCCCAAGCCCCAGGCAGGGTGTGGGTGTCTTTGGGGTTTGTACTGTGCCGGCCACGGGCCCCAGCCATGGGTTGCACCACAGAGCTAATTAGCGGGCATCCTGTTACATTTCCGTGGCTTCTTGTTTTCAACCATTTCTCTCCTTTTGGGGCCTTGGATCATCAAAACCTTGGCTGGGAGGTAGTTGCCTTTTGGGAAAAATGTGGAGGGATGGGGTTGGTGATGAGCATCTCACAGCGGCCTGAGTCTCACCCCGCGAGCGTGTCCTGAGCACCGAGCCTCCCTGTGCTGCCTGGGAGGCCCTGTGGCAGTGCAGCTCTGTGTGCCCACCACCGCTCTCGTGGCAAGCCCGCCCTGGGACTACATGGAGGCAGGAGGGCAGGGCGTGTAGCACAGCTTATGGGGGCTGGAAGGGCCCCTACAGGCCGGCAGCCTTCTGAGGAGCAGCCTTCTGAGGAGCAGCCCTCTGCTGCCCGCATAGATCACAGGCTTGGGCACATACAAAGGCATGTGTGTGTGTGAGTATATATGTGCATGTAAGTGTGTGTGTGTGTGTGTGCGCGCACGCGCCTCGGCCCCAGCTTGCTGGCCTGGGCAGTGTCTCGTGGTGGCGGGCTTTGGCTTGGGGGGACAAGCTGCCTGAGGGCTGTCCTCTGAGCGCCGTCCTGGCCCTGACACCGCGGCTCCCCTCATGGCCACTAGATGGCGGTCCTGCCCCTCGCTGGAGTCTGGGCTCCCTGTGGAAATTCCCCAGGTTCTTTCATCCTTTTTATAGACTCCCGGACCCGCAGTGATCATCCCCGAGCCCCTGGGGTCAGCAGTGGGCGGAGAGCGAGGAGGGGCGGGCGGCTCTGCTCAGCCTGGCCGGGGTGCCCTGGTTTTGGTTGGGGTCCACCAGCCAGTAGGATTTTAAGGGGGAAAGACCCACGTTTTCCTTAAATAATGGAACACAAAAATGAAGGCAAAGAAAGAGAAAGCAGCCTCTGCTAGGTCCCGAGCATGCTGGCTGAGGGCCAGTTGGTCTCTCGGACGAGGCCCTGCCTGGCATGGGGTGACTGGCGGGCAAAGCGTGTTCTGGGGAATGTGGCCCTGTGGTGGGCGGCACCAGTCCCAGCAAGGCTGAGGTGAGGAGTGGCTCTGGGGGTCCTGCACCGAGGCTGCTGGGGTCGAGGGTGGTTGGAGGCAGCAGCATCTGCCCGGAGGGAGGAGAGGTGTGGGGATGGTCCCTGGAACTGGCCTTGGCAGGGATGAAATGTGAGGAGACCGCCTGTTGCCAGCAATGTGGGGTCTAGGCCGCGGCCCCTGAGGACCGCCCTCAGCACCTTGGCCCCCTGCTGTCTGCCCAGGTGGCCCCTGCCACCCACTCCCCACCCCGCTGGCACCCCTTCCCACAGCCCGCTTCTTGAGCGCGCTGGGGAAGTAGTCAATGGGGTGGTGTTGGACACAGCAGCCGTTCCTCCGAGGGAAAGAATGTTCTTGAAGGCACCCTGACCTTAGTCTTGGTCTCTGGTCCTGAAGTGGAGGAGGATGAATGTGGCCGGTGGGCAGGGGCTCCTCAAGGTGGGGCTGTGTGGGGTCCAGCTGCAGGGGCGACCACCTCCCCCCACCCCCAGGCTCCCTGCTGGCACCCTGCCTGCTTTCTCCCTGGGACCTGGGTGGGGACCCAGACACTGGTCCTGGACCCCATGCTCATCCTTGAGAGCAGAGACTGCTGGGTGACCACACGCCAGCCATGTCTGATGTTGGTGTCAGGATCTCCCCACTGGACTGTGGACCCTCCGTGTCCCCAGCCCCTTGCGCAGACAGGGGGATCGGTGGCCATCAGGAGAGCTGGGTGCTGGCCCCTAGCCTCTCGGAGCCTTGTGGGTGCCATTTGCGTCATGTGGAGCTGGCACCGTAGCAAAGGGATCGGGTCCTTAGGCCATGCTTCCTCGGAGACTGACGTGGATGCCGGCCCTGGGGGGAGCAGATGGGCGCCTTCCCGCCCTGGGCCCTGGTCGGTGGCAGTCTCTGGCAGATTGCCCTCACTCGCTCATTTCCCTGCTTCTCTCGTGTCTGCAGTAGCTTAATTGCACCCATTTCGGAGTATTTCAGTAGCGTTTTTTTTTAAGTGTCGACGTACTCAGGTTTACAGCATTTTATGAGCCTTTCTGAGTCTGTTGCTACTTTGGTAGTGTGATTTGTGTGTCAGAGTGACGTGAACAGCCTGATGTCGATAAAAGCTTCGAAAGGCCGGCGTTATGTGGTGCTGTCAGGCAGCAAGGCTAAGAATATCTGAAGCGTTTAAGACGGGATTTAAAATAGAGCCGCCACTTGCAACTTACCCCCGACTGGCCTCCCACAGCCCAGGAGGTCAGAGAGGCCAGGAGGGTGGCGGGTGTGGGCCTGGGGGAGGCAGGGCGGCTGTGTCCTGATACTCTCAGGGCCCGACAGGGCAGTGCCAGGGTGGTAGGGCAGCGGGGGGCCTGGTGTCTAGAAGGCCATGCCTGTCGTGGTGGCTTGGCTGGAGGTGACATCCCCATGGCCTATCCCAGGGCTGCCCCCAGGATGACCCCCTGGGCCATCTGCCCCACAGCCTCGGGCAATGCAGGCTCGGTGTGAACTCGCCCACCTGGTGGCGGCTCACTGTTCTCAGGCAGGGCACTAAATGATGCATGAGCAACAGGACCGCCGCGTAGCCTCCTGTTGTTCTGCGCACAGGGTGGGGGACGTGCTGCAGAGCTCCGGGCCTCTGGGCAGGGCAGCCAGCCAGCCCCACAGGGCATTCGCGCTGTGACCTTGGCCTTCAGGCTCATGACTGGGGCGCCCATCTGGTGGATTTTGGGGGCTTCCCGAGCCCTTCCAGCTCTTGTCCTGGTCCTGGGATGCCATCTCCCAGGTGGCCATGCCAGCTCCCTGAGTGGGGACAGGGAGAGGGCGCACTGATTGTGCTCCCGCAGAAGGCCTGTGGGAGGCCCTGGGTGTGATGAGCGTTTCCCCCTAAGCAGAGTCTGTGGAGGGGATGTGTCGGGAGCCGGAGAGGCAGGGCGCTCCCAGAACTCCACGCCTCCTTGACCTTTAAGAAGCCCGAGCCAGGCAGCAGGGAGCAGAGAATTTTTCCTTTTGATTCAGCTGAAACTAGAGTTTTTCTCTGGCATTTGCGCTTGGAGGAGTTTCACTGGAGGGGGATTGGGCAGCCTTTCTCGTGCTGTGGGGAAACCTGACTCCCAGCAGGCCCAGCATGTCTCCCTGCACAGCCCTCTGGAGGCATGCATGGCCGTGCATGAGTGTGCGCGCATGTGTGGGGGCACACGAGTGTGTGCGCATGTGTGCGTGCCCACATACATCGTCTGTGTGTTGTGCTCATGTGTACACATGTGCCCATTTGAGGATGTTGCCCCCTGTGTGGGGCACAAGGAGGGAAGCACGCCCATGTGCAGGCTCCGGCCAGTGCCCGTGTTGCCCGCTCTTCGGCTGCACTCACTCCGAGAGAGGCTGGGTGTTCTGGGCCCGGGATTGATGGGTCTGTTGCCTGGGGAGGCCGAGCAAGGCTCTTTGGGGAGGGCACTGCTGG